ATATATATATATATATATATATATATATATATATATATATATATATATATATATATATATACATACATGCATAAATATATAGTAGTTAGTTTGATTAACCATCATTTTTTTATATTAATTAACCGAAACCAAACCGATACCTTTGATTTTTTTTTTAAATACCAAACCTATCTTTTTGATTAACTAAAATTTTCGATTCAATTTCATCCATACAATTTTTTAGATTTTTCTTACTCACCCTTAATCACAACACATCGCAATTATACATTCAAAACATCTCCTATACTTATATCTTATCATTCTTTAGAAAAAGATATTAAATGAGTAGGTGAAGTGGGTAGATAGTTTTCTTGTGGGTATCATATTCATTTCCAAACTCCCTATGGCTGCTGCTACATTTTCAAGTTTTAAGTTCTACTTGGGAAAAAAAGGCGATTAAATAAAGTGCAAGTACATGGACATGGTAGCCTGGTAGGCATACTTCAAATTAAAGCCATTGAATTGGAATCCGATTAATAATTAATAATTAATAATTATGCCCATTCTGGCATCTAATCTAATTATATTTAGTGCAAGACGTTCTAAGTAATAAATATGTTCAATAAGATTATAAAATAGGGCCCAGTAGTTTGCAGGATCTAAGGGTAAACAACTAGCGTGTAGAGTGACTTGATGTCGAGTACGCAGCTTAGCGTTTTCTCTTTGTCCACATATACACGTGGGCTTCATTTGAAATTTAAAAGGCATTTCAAAGAATTGTCATTGATGGAGATTTAAGGGGTACATACGTCATTTTGTCAAAAAAGACTTTTACGCGCCCGTGCTTTAAGTAGAGAGTTCCATTGGAGGATCTTGCACCCTTCTGTGTACAAGATTACAAACCCTTGTTTTTCTCTCCTGCGTTTTCTCTCTTGACTCACTCAAAAGGAGAGATTCGGACGAGTGAGTGAGGTCTTCTAAGTTCCATCTCTTGCTGCTGGCCGCACATCAATGGGGTTCATTTCATTTATAGGCAGAGTTCTTTTCGCTTCCGTCTTCATTCTTTCCGCATGGCAAGAGTAAGCTCTTCTTTTCCCTTCGCTTTGGTTCCTCAGATCTGATTCAATTTTCTTTTCTTTTGTTTTCCCTAGATTTTTCTTCATCAGAAGTTTTTTTTTTTTTCGGTGTGTTTCTAAGATGTTTAGTCTGCATCACGTTCTTTGTGGGAAAGTTAGGGTTTTTGTTTTGTAGTGCGCATTCGTTAGTTGCTGGTGATTGGATCTGGTAGATTTTTACCTGTTGGTTGATATTTCTGATGGGTTGAAGCGACGGATGCATAGCTAAACTTGTGATATGCTTTTCTTCGCCTTGGTTCATGTATCTATGACTGTTTTATTGCTTGATTTGACTACCTAGAAGCCCGCATCACATGGATCTGGGTTTTTTATCTTGGGATTTGAATAATTTGCATGTTAACGTAGATGATCTGATGCAGAAAACCTGTCAGTGGAAGCTTTTATTGCGTCTGCACGTCATTAATACGTGGATAATTGGATCATTTTCGTGATTTTTGTTTCTATATATAAGATTAGATAGACTTAAAGCAAATATTTAAGAAGCTTGTTCCTCTTCTTCTTCTTCTATTTTTTTGGTGTTTAAGTTTCTTCCATGTATCACGGGTTCTTTGGTGTTCTTTTACTGTCTTTGTATTCCAATGAGCTATTTTGTGTAAATCAGGTTGATTTTTTGATAATGGGATTAGTTGTAAGGGGTTATTAAAAGATTGATGTATGCCTTTTCGTTTGGTTTAGATGGTGGAACTTGTTTTTATTTAGTTATTATTTGTTGTTCTTGATTGCTGTGCTACCAATTTGTTTTTCTGTTGTTTTTTACATTGCTCTTATCCACTCGCCTCTCTTTACCTCGAGAATATGCTTCTTACCCCTATCTGTTATTCTGGTTGTGCTTACTTTCTCGACTTATCAAATAGTTCATTTGTTTCTATGAAATTTTTGCTGTTAAGAAGTCAACTTTATGCGTAAGAGACTTTCACTGCCTGTGTACTATGTTGTATGGGCACTTCAAAAATTGGTGCGGTGTCAGTGTTGAACACTTCAATTTTTCCATGAAGTGTCCGATACCCTGACCAAGACATCTCCTTTCCATGTCCGTGTAACATGCCCTGAATAATAATTTTGCTGGGACACCTCCATTTTGGTGTTCATTTTATAACCCATTATTCAGTTACTTCAGTTAAAAAGAATATGTGTGTTCTGACGTGCATAATTGCATCAAGATGAATACACCATCTTGTCATGGAATCTTAGTAGTTTTTTCCCCAATTAATTTGGTTTCCTTTAAGAATAGCACATCTAGGATACCAATCTGCTGAAACTTTGGCAAATTTATTAATTTTTGTTAGAAAATTTGGCGATTTTAATGACTATAACTGGTTTAGTTTGGTTCATAAACTTTGGGGTTCGCATACGAGAACAGGGTAATCAAATGCTCCTTGTTTATGGTGAAATTCCATCTACAGATTTAGTTTGTTGTTACTTATGCAAAGACTTGGGTGCTTTTGCATTGATGGGGAGTACTTTCTATATTTTACTGAGAGCTTTTGGTCTTAATGACATGGTTGGGATTACTAGGTGTTCTCTTTAGATATTGAACCACTTCCTATATATGGAAACCCCTCGGTGTTGAAAAAAATACTATATTTTTAAGGTGCAGTGGGTTGAGGTTACTTTCTTTATGTTTCTCTGGAAGATCAATGGTGATACTTGAAGGGATAATATTGATGTAGTCATAAAGTTGGTTGCCAGTGATGATGATGGTTGCTGATCAGAACGAAGGAAGAAGATTGTTGATCAATTGTGTGCTTCAATGAGGTCATCTTTATGATGATGCTTGGACTTGTTCTTTCTGATTAACCACTAAATTGACAGTTGAAAAAGGTAAGTGACTTGAAATCTCTGAAATGGTCTCATTTATAGAAAAGATATAGTGAGATTTGAGATAAAAAAACATTAGATGATACTTGGAGGGTTAATATTTTGATGTAGTCAAAAAGTTAGTGGCCAGTGATGATGCTTGCTGATTAGAAGAAAGGAAGAAGGTTGTTGATCAATAGTTGTGCTTGAAGGAGTTCATCTCCATGACGAGACTTGGGATTGTTGACCATTAGAATTGGTAGTTGAAAAGGGTAAGAGACTTGAAAGCTTTGAAGTGGGTACACCTGTTGTAGCTATGTTTTAAAAGTAGGTTTTCTCTGTTTTGATGTGTTTTATGCATTATGCTTGAAGTTGTTATTAATTCCACTGTGGTGCCATTTTTATTTATTTTTGCTGATAAACATTTGATTCAAACTTTGTTGTAAACTCTTCGCATTTAGACACCTAGACTAAATGGAGATTTCCTTCCAACTTTTTACTCTAACAATTTTTTATTTTGGACTCATGGCTGTAATTAAAAAACTTTTCCAAAGGTGATGAAGTGCATGCATATTTTACCTCTTCTATAGTTGCATGTTTCAAGTCTAACCTGTGCTGGCATAAGGTGTATTCAGTGTTTTGAAAGGCGTGGGAAGTGTATGCCTGGAGGCATGCCCCCAGCCGAGGTGCCCCCAAAACGTCCTGAGGTGTATGCCAGAGGCGCTGGCACCTCTGAGGCGTATGCCTTGTATTTTTTTTTCATGAGGCATGCTAGAGGCGTACGGCTCATGCGCCTCATGCATGCCTCATATAAAAAGACAGAGAAAAAGAAAAAAAGAAAGAAAAAAGGAAGGAAAAGAAAGGGAAGGGAAAGAAAAATAAAGAAAGGGGATAAATAGGGGGAAAAGAACACAAAGAAATGGAAAGGGAAGAAAAGATAAGGGGAAAGCTGTATTCATCTTCATTCTTCTTAATATAAAAGATTTTTATTAAAAATAAAGAAAAATGAGATCCTCCTTCCTTTTATTTCTCCTCCCCTTCCTCCTCATCCCCTCCTCTTAAGGAGGCTTACGCCTCTTACGTTCTGAACCACGCCGCCTCTAGGTAGTGGAATGCCTCGCATCATGCCTCTGTGTTTTAAAACATTAGCGAAGCAAATTTCTTTTGCTCCTAGGTCAAGGAGAACGGTGCAAAGAGTGACTACTTCCTACTTAATCCCTAAATTATTATAATTGTTATGGTTCATCATGGCAATGGTGTGCTAGTTTATCTCCTTTGAGGGCTGTTGATCTATCTAATGGTCTCTATCTAATGGTCTCTAAGATGTGAGTCTGAGTGTATCTTGGCATTTTCTTGTGCATTGTATATAATGGGTGTGTTCTATAGTGTATTAAGAGGTTTCTGCACGGGAAGGGGCTAACTTCAGCCATTACAATCTGCTGGAGCACCATTCGGTCAGAAAAACCTTGGCTTGAAAGACTTTCAAGACATTGAGAAGTGTCATGGTAATCTTCTGGAGTATGTAGCAGCAAAAAGAGTCTGATCAGAAGACTTTCAGGATACTTAAAAACACTCGGTGGATTCTATCTTTGGAGGATGTGAGCAGCAAGTGGTGTCTACTCTGTTGATCTTATTCCTTCATCATCTTTGTTTTTTTACCTAGAGGATAGCATTCTTGCCTGAAAAGTCTTTTGGGACATGTCATTTTCTGAAGGATGGCAATGCCAACGGGCTTGCTGTTATTATTCTTATCCTCATTTTCTTTTCTTTCCTTTTCCCTTGAGGATGGAGCAGCCATGACTTAATTCTCTCCCTTTCCTCCTTTCTTTCTCTTTTCTTTTGCCTAGATGATGGGATCAGATATTTATTTTAATTATTTTTTCTAATATTTCACCATGCTTTTCTCAGGTGAGGACCATTTTATTATTTCATTTGATTGTCAAATGTGCTGTTTAGAGCATAACAGTGGAACCGACTACTTACATGCCTAGCAAACCAATTTTCTTCTGTATATGGCTCTACTTTTTAGTTTTTACAAGAGCTATATGACATGACTATCTTTAACAATAAGCAACTCTGTATCTTTGGGAACTGAGAAAGTTGTCTCTGCAATGATTTTATGGTAAAAAGGTGTGATAGTACACTAGATGCTTATGTGTAGCCACCAAATTGGATTGAATAACAAAGAGTTTTCCAGGTAGGCCTTTTTTACTTATTTTATCACTGTTATTATGTTCTTCTCTCATCTAGAGAAAATTCCCATTGATTGAAGAGTTGTCCAGGTAGGCCTTTTTTTTGATAAATTCTTACAGGGATAGAAAGGTGCATGCTGTTAAATTAGGAGGAAAATTTCATGCTATTTATCTAATATATCAGATTTGGCAACAATTTGAATGCTAGAGAATAAACCAGGAGTTGAAAAGCTGACACAATAGATGTTGCTATAGAGTTTTAATCTTTTAATCTTTAATATATATTGATAATTGCCTACAGTTTTTGCTCTAAGCACTAAACTTTAGGTCTTGAGTTTTGTTGTCTTGGCATCTTATGGTGGTATTTCTCTGTATTGAGCTTTTGTTTTTCTTTTTGAAGCCTCTGTATTGGGCCTATCATGTTCAAGGTAATCACTATCTTGTTGGGGCACCTAGTAAGCTTTTGTTCCTTTTGATGGAAAAATTGATTGGATTTGACTTATTCAAATATATGATTAGGGTGTCTGATATCATGTTAGCTTGGTTTTCCTTCTTAAAGTTTGCAAATAATAGAGTTGCATCCTGTGCATAGTTTATCGAGTTTTATCCTATTTATCTATGATTTGTGTCTATTCCTAGCTTTTCAACTGTGCAAATAATTTGTATGTAATGTATATTTTATATTTTTTTTGGTATTCAATGTATATTTTCTATTAATGTAAATAGTTTGCACCTGGGTGTTTCAAGCTTGATTTACTGTGTGACCCTTATAGGTTCAATGAATTCGGGGTTGATGGTGGGCCAGCAGCAAAAGCTCTTAGACCGAAGTTTGATGTTTTGACAAATCATGTGACCTCTAACCTTGGGGTGCAAGTACCTGAAATTGAAGTGAGAATCACCCCACTATGAATACTTTAATCAGTTACAGATTAATTTGCTATGTCACATTGCACTATTCATGACTTTGAGGGTGTGTGGATTCACAGATTAAACATTTGGTTGCGGGGGCGGTAGCTTTGAAGGGTATTGGAGGCATTTTCTTCATCTTTGGCAGCTGTTTTGGTGCATACCTCCTGGTACGTACACCTAAATGTGTCACTTGATCTCATGTGATCCTCACAATCATGCTAGCATATCTCAAGTACTGTTGGTCTGTCTGTATCTTTAAGTACTGATATAGAATCTTTTCTGCAGGTTATACATCAGTTGCTTGCTACTCCTATTCTATACGACTTTTACAACTACCACCCTGACAAGAAAGAATTTATTCAGCTTTTTGTCAAGTTTACACAGGTCAGAGATGCCTCATCTTGAATCTTAGCGGCTTTTGAGTTGTGCTCAATTTGTTTCTTTTAGTAATTTTTTGAACTCATGGTTTTTTTTTTCAGAACTTGGCGCTTCTTGGGGCATTGTTCTTTTTCCTAGGAATGAAGAACTCTGTTCCAAAGAGACAGCCCAAGAAGAAAGCTCCCAAGGCAAAAACAGTCTAAAACAAATGGGTATTATAAGGTGGAGGGACATTTATTGGTGTTGGCAGCTCCTGGTCGATTATAGACATTCGTGATGTTGATCGCCTAGGATTCGTCAAGGTGGTATTCATTGAGATCTACTTCTGTATTCTAGTATTAGACTTTTTTCTTCCTTTTTTATTGTTTATTTTCCTTTTTGAGGTGATTTTGCATCTTATAGGTTAACTTTATGAACCTTCTCCGAAGTTGAGGTTTAGATAACTTGCTATTTATCAAATTAAGGGTCTTTTCCTTGTGTTGGTTGCTCATGAAGTATTGCTAAAAAGTAGTTCCTTTTGGTCATTTCTGTTGCATCGTCTTGTTGATTTCCTGTTGGTAATATAATAATGGCGAGGCTTATGCGTATGAACTTACATTGAACTGTGGAACCAGTAAAAAGCTTCACGGTTCCTATTAATCAAACTCTATTGCCCGAAGGGGACTCATTTGTGGTGGTGTCCGGGTGGGGACTGGGGTTCCACCCTAAGCAGGTGGGAGAAATGCATAGAAAGCAATATATTTTTTGATAGGCCTGGTTTGTTTGCAGTTCACATTTCATTCGCATTGGTGCAAAAGTATTGGAGTACAAATGGGTTGATTGCCTCCGGTTTATTTATTTATTTATTTTTTGTTTCAGATTTTGATTTATTTTGTTTTTTTAGTTTTGCATAAATTATAAATTTATAAAGAGCGTGAAGCAAAACAAGGTAAAATCCAAACCAGAAGTGAATTATAATTTGTATTCTTTACCAGTTGCACACGCATACAATCAAATTTTCGTTTCACGAAAGGGTCCTCGCACTAGGATTATTGAAAAAAGGAAAAATATATGCATATGGTACGAATTCGGCTTCAGGCGCGCTCTATACGCGCTGCGTGAGGGCGCGCCAGCGTCTTGGAAACGTGTGCACGCTTGAAACGTGCTAAGTCCTTCCCTCTCCTCATCGGCGACCGGCGTGTTCCTATATCTGTATGATATGTTTTTTCCTCTTTTTTCTGTTCTTTTCTTTGCAGTTTGCACTTTAGAAAGTGCCATTTTCTAATCAGGAAGTGGCTTAGATGAACAGAGTCAACCGAGTAAACTGCCATTATCTACTGAATAGGTGTGGAAACTTGGAACAGTTCAAGTACGTCCATCTACCGTCTCCAACGCATTGTCTATAAAATTCTCAACAAATACACCAATATCAATGAGGCAGTGGATTCACGAAAGGTCTAAATCAGATCCAAAACCCAGATATCATCTCTTGGACCTCTCTCATTAGTTTGTACCTAACCATTGATCAACCCCACGAAGCACTATCAGTTTTCTCAGACTTGGTTGTATCGGGTTTAAGACCTGATAACTTTTCCATAGTGGGAGCTCTGTTCGCTTGGCGGAATGGGGATCTGAATCACAGAAAGATGGTTCATGGGATGATCTACAGACATGAGTTGAGTTTTGGTCCAATAGTTGGTAATGCTTTGATCGATATGTATAGAAGAAATGGAGAAATTAAAGTAGTTCAATTGATTTTTAGGGAGATGAAAGTCAGGTATTGCTTTGTGGACTAGCTTGCTTCATGGGTTTATCAGATGCAATGACTTGGAATCTGCTCGCTGGGTCTTTGATAGAATGCCGCAGAGAAATTCCATCTCCTGGACTGTAATGATCACTGGTTAATGGTTATATTCCGGGAAGGTCCCCATTCCCCAATTCAAGCACTGGAGCTCTTTCAGAAAATGAATTTAGAAGGAAACAATCCTCCAATATTGATCACAATTGTAGCTGAAGTGATTAAATTTGACCTTGCTTGTTGGGGGGCCTATCCACTTCATCCATTTCTTCCCTTTCTCTGACTAGAGCAACCGATCTTTCTCACGCTCTCATCGTTCGTTTTCAAAGGAACCTTTGATATTGTTTATGCTTCAACTTACCTAACCAAATTCAATAGAATGGGGGTTGATCACTGAAGAGTGAGATCAGAGGAACAACTAACAAGAAGAATAAGCGGATTCAGTTCGGTGTTAATAGTCGCCAAACAACATCTTATTAACGCTTGCCTGAAATTTTTCTCTGGTCACTGGTGATGGTTGTTTGTTGCCGCTGGTTGGAGAGGGAGAGTTGAAAGGTTCAGTGTGGAAGTCTGGCGAAAAAGGAGTGGGAATGAGGAGCGTTTCATCACTTCGCACGTTTAAAGCGTGCATACGCTTCCAGGACGCGTGGCGCGGCCTCACGCTGCGCGTATAGAGCGGGCCTGGACTGAAGCCAAACTCGGTACCGGAAAGACTTTCCTGCATCTGTTATAACAGTTCATCACGTTAGATAATGTAACTGAGCCGAGTCTCAGTCTGGGTAAAAGTTAATGGCGTTTCTCACTTTTGAATATTATAATAATTGTTAAAGTTTTAAACACCTGCCAATACATATCTTTTTTGGTACGAAAAACCCGCCGACTCAAATCTTTTTTTCTTTTTTTGGTAAAGAAGTTCTGTTAAAAGGAACCGACAAAAACATTAGGGGTACATTAACAAAAGTACTGTTGTAGGATTGGAGGGGATAGTGAGCACATACATAAGTTCTGCGAGATCCAGCTAATTTAGCTATCTGATTTGTTTTCCTGATCGCAGATCTGTTAACAAAAACCAATTTAATATCAACAAAAAAAGAGAGTAGAAGTCTAATATGTTCCAGTAGGGCTTGGGCATCTCCATTTATATTTGCTTCGGTTCCTTTTATAGAAGAGAGAGAAGCTTGAACATCTGAGAGAAGGGCTGCTGTGGTGATGTTTTGCTGAAGAAGATATCTTAGCCCTCTTGCGATGGCCCACATTTCTGCTATTGCTGGGGAAGTGACCAGACATGGTTGTCCTTCTGCAAAAGAGTGATACATAGTGTGAGTAACAAGGTAAAGTCCTGTGGACGCATCCATAGTGTTTGGATCCCATGAACCGTCTACCAATATAATATCCTCATGTATATCAAGAAGATTAATTACATTCAGCTCCTGGCCTGGGTTTTGCTGCTTGGGGGGTTCAGTATGTTGCTGCTTGTAGTATTGATTGGCTCTTCTAAGAATAGAGATGGTTTGTCATTTGAGAAGATTGTTGCATTTCTAGTATCCCAGATTGCCCGGATGATAGAAATGATATGGGCCTGATAGTGTTTACTTTCTTCCTTCCTGATGGTGTCTTTGTTATAGGTTGACCACCATGTCAAGATGTCTCTTGAGTTTGACTGTAGATAGGCTTCGGGGTTTAGGCCAACTTGGGCTTGCAGCTAGACTGCCCTGGCGAAAGGACATAGGAGAAAGAGGTGATCTTGTGTTTCTGGCTCATTGCTGCAAAAAGTGCAGCTAGTGTCATTGGTTTTGACTGCTTGATGGAAGAGTTTCCAGGTGAATAGCTGGCATCTGTGTGGGGCTTTGTAGGTCTAGATTTTCATCCATTTGATTCCATTCGCTTCCACTCTTCTGTTGCTTTGTAAGAGGACTGTGTATGCCGATTTAGCCGTAAAAGTTTCATTGCTGGAGGCTAGCCATAGAAGGTGGTCTTGCACTGACGTTCTGTTGATGTGGATACTGAGGATAGCTTCGATTGTCTCTGGTTCAAACCAGAGTTGTAGCTTTCTAATGTCCCATTCGAGGTTGTCTTGTAGCAGGTCCCTAACCTTCGGGTTAGTTTGAGGGAAGTTTGCTCTCGGTCTTGGGGTGTTGCCTGGGATGCCTGGAATCCAGGGGTCCTTTAGGGCATTAATGGAGCTGCCATCTGCAATTTTCCAACATGCTTGGGTTTTGAGGTCATCAAGCACTTTGATCGAGCATTTCCACCACCTTGAGTCTGATGACCTGGCTTTGCAGTTTAGAGAGCTGGTACTTTGCCAATATTTATGTTTGAGTTGGCTTGCCCAAAGGGTGCCTTCTGAGTTGATTAATTTCCAAACCTGTTTGGAGAAAAGAGCTTTGTTGAAAGGTTCCATTAGCTTTAAACCGAGTCCTCCCTCTTTAGGTTTGCATATTTGGCTCCATTTGATATTATGACCTCCACTTTTCCTTGAATTGCCACGCCACCAGATGTTTCTTTGCATTTGATCCATCTTTTGGCAGATTGTTGTGGGCAGTAGAGTGTGTTGCATTGTGTAGGTAGGTATGCTTTGAGAGACTGCTTTAAGGAGAGTTAGACGCCCCGCCTGGGAGAATAGTCTTGCTTGCCATATGTCTAACTTCTTGTTCATCTTGTCTATTAACTCCTTGCTTGCTGCTATTTTTCTTCTGCTATCCGAGAGGTTAGCTCCTAGGTATTTTGAGTGGAAGGTCATAGGTTTCATACCCATGAGCCTGCTGAGAAGCTTTTGATGCACTCTGTGAGTGTTTTTGCTGAATAAGATGCCTGGTTTTCCTTTGTTGTAATGCTGCCCTGACATCTGTTCAAAGGTGAGGAGAATGGCTTTTATATTTACATGAGCTTCTGGAGTGGCCCTGTTGTGGATGATGCAGTCATAAGCAAATAGGAGGTGGGAGATTGGTGCCGAGTCTTTGGCAATCTGGATTCCTTGTATGCTTCCTTCTTGTTCTACTTTTTGGAGGAGGGTTGATAGAACCTACATTCCTATAATGAACAGATAAGGTGAGAGTGGGTCTCCTTGTTAGAGACCCTTTTTGTTGTAAAAGGATTGTGGGTGTTGACATTGAGCTTAATGGAGAAGGAAGTAGTAGAGATGCATTGCCATGTCATATCACATCATTCCTCTGGGAATCCCATTTTCCTCATTACTTGGATTAGGAAGTTCCATCCCATTCTGTCAAAGGCTTTAGCCATATCAATTTTGAGCACTGCCCATTTCTTCTTGCCTTTTTGGGTCTTTAGTTTATGGATAGCTTCTTTGGCTAAGATGATGTTGTCTATTATGCTCCTCTCTTCCACAAAGACTACTTGGTTGGGGTCAATTAGGCTCTTTATGATTGGTTGAGCCTGTTTGCCATTACTTTTGCAATGATTTTGTAGATTGTTGTGCAAAGGCTTATGGGTCTATAGTGCTCTACTGATTCCGGGCCAATTCTTTTGGGGATGAAAGCTAGGAGGGTGTGATTTATTTACTTTAAGAGCTTTCTGTTAATAAATAAGTTTTGTACCATAGTAGTGACATCACTCCTTATTGTGCTCTAGTATTTCTAGAAAAAGTAAGCAGTGAATCCATCTGAGCTTGGAGCTTTATGTGGGTTCATCTGGAATAGGGCTGTTTTGATTTCCTCTAGAGTATGTGCATTGATAAGAGAGGCTTTCTCTTCTTCATTGATTTGATGTAGAGGGAGGTTTTCAAGCCAA